AAAGTTTTGTTGTGTTCCCTAGCATACCAAATTTCTGATTTATTGAGATTGTCCCTCCTAAGTTCAGCCATATGCTTGTCTACATACTCTTCAAACTCTTCAGTGTTGTGCAACACATATAAGTGGGCTTGCTCCCACTGTACACTTGACATAGTAATGACTTTGTTTCCCATGATCCTTCTCCACTTATTCTACCCATATGTCGAGACTTTGGAAGCCCAACATAGCTAATATGACTCAGGTACTCAGTACAAAAGTCAACAGCCTCTTCACAAATATACCGTTCAACAATACAACCCTCCGGTCGACTTTGATTTTTCACATAGCCTTTCAAAATCTTCATATAGCGCTCAATAGGATACATCCATCTTAAATAAGCAGGCCCGCACATTTGAACCTCCCTAACCAAGTGAACAGTTAGGTGGATCATAATATCAAAGAATGCCGGTGGAAAATACATCTCAAGCTCACACAGTGTTAATACAATTCGAGCTTGCAACCTTGGCAACTTATGTGGGTTAATCACTTTACTGCAAATGGACTTAAAAAACAAACATAACTTAGTGATCGTCCCTCGTACTTTAAGGGGTAAAATTGCACGTATAGCAACTGGAATGAAATCCTCCATTAAAACATGGCAATGTGAGACTTTAAGCCCTTCAACTTCAAATCTTTCATTGATACAATATTTTTTATATTTGAAGAGTAACCCTCAGGAACTTTAACTATATTAAGGAACTCACAAAATGCAGTTTTCTCTTTCGTAGATAGCGTATAAGCTGCCGGAGGGAGAAAGGTACGGTTCCCCTTATCTTGGGGTGCTAATTCTTCTCTTATTCCTAAAGAGACCATGTCCAACCTTGCTTTTATGCCATCTTTTGTTTTTCTTGACACTTGGAGTAAAGTCCCAATAAGACTCTCACAGACATTTTTTTCAATATGCATGACATCAAGAAAATGCCGAACATCCAAGGTGGTCCAATAAGGGAGTTTAAAGAAAATAGATCTCTTCTTCCATCCGGTTGTCCCAAGGTGCCTTGCAAATGGTTTGCCAAATTCAATATCCAAATCCTTAATCTTCTCAAACAACTCATCACCAGTTAACGGTAAAGGTGTCTTACCTTCTTCTGGATTTCCATTGAACGCTTTTCTCAACCGCCGATAATGATGTTCTTGGTGTAAAAACCTACGGTGGCCGAGGTAAACATTCTTCATCCCATGTTGAAGCCTTATAGAATGTGTTCCCTCTTCATAAATAGGGCATCCAAGTTGCCCTTTAATGCTATACCTTGACAGATTGCCATAAGCAGGAAAGTCATTGATTGTATCGAAGAGCATAGCTCTTAAATTAAATCTTTCTTCTCTATACCCATCATATACCTCTATACCTGACTCCCACATGATCTTCAAGTCATAATTAGAGGAGCCAAATATATGTCTATGTCATTCCCAGGTTGCTTGGGTCCTGCAATTAGCATGGACAACATCATATACTTGCGCTTCATGCAAAGCCATAGAGGAAGGTTATAAATCACCAAAATGACTGGCCAAGTGTTGTGGCTACTACTTTGAATCCCATGAGGATTCATCCCGTCGGTAGACAATGCAAGGCATAGATTCCTACTCTCTTCCCCAAATTCAGGGTACTCATAATCAATCTTTCTCCATTGTGGAGAATCAGCAGGATGACGAAGCATGCCATCTTTTATCCTTTCATCCGCATGCCATGTTAAGTTTTTCGTAATTTCTGCACTGCTATACATGCGTCTAAATCTAGGCACGATTGGAAAATACCATAGTGCCTTTATGGGACTTGATCCGTTCTGCTTGTAGCGTGAGGCATTACACTTCGGACACTCGGTTAACGACGCATATTCATTCCGAAATAAAAGGCAATCATTAGGGCACGAGTGTATCTTTTCATAACTCATGCCAATTGATCGCAATACTTTTTGCATCATATGTTCGACAAGGAAGCTCATTTTCCTTAGGAAGTAATTCTACTTTCAAATACCCAAGCAACTCAGTAAAGCTTGCATCACTCCATCCATGTTTTGCCTTCATGTTGTACAATTTTAACACTGCTGACAACTTTGATGCACTACAACCAGCATACAACGGTGTCTCCGCATCACTTTTCAACTTCTCAAACATTTCCGAATAATCCTCGAGGTCCTCTTCAACTGCTTTGGCCATCTGTTCAAGACAATCTTCCTCAAGTGTGCATGTGTCAAAATCATCAGGAGATGATGCACAGCTTTCACTATGCTTCTGGCTGCAACCAATATCATCTCTTGTCTCTCCATGCATTGTCCAACACTTATAACTTTAATCCATCCCATTAATCACGAGGTGTTCTTCACAAGTATCTGGACTAACCCACTTCACAAGACCACACTTTAAACATGGGCAAACAATCCTAGTAGGATCCTCCACATGCTTAACTGCAAGCTTAACAAAATTTGTCACCCCATCCCAATATTCCTTGGATAGACGATTGACAGACATCCATTCCTTATCCATAATTCCTAGAAAGATTAAGAAGGAAATATGATTAGTGACTTTGACTACTCCTAGATAGTGGGAGAATTAGATACAAAGATCAATTAGTCAATAAGTCATTAACCACATGTTTGCACATTCCCTCTTTAATCTTGTTTAAAACTAATAATTATATTTTAATGCTAGCCATTGAAATAATTTCGACAGCATAACAACTTAAAAAAGAGAGTTTATCGGGCCTTATCCCCTCTTCCTATTAATCTAAATGACAACAATAACAACATCCACAACAACAAACACATAAAGTTATATTCAAGAATAATTTTAAAAAATTAATAGTATATGTAACGGCTTAAAATGAGTATTACCAGGTCTTTATGCCTTTAAAAAAATCAAGTTATCCATAATGAGACTATATATGATCTAACAACAATAATAACAACATTAATAAGAAACTCAATTTTAATTAAAATCATATTAAACCACATCAAACACTATATAAATATCAATTTAAAATATCAAAAATATTAAAAACAAGGTAATTAGGTGGTATACTATTTTCATATCCTTAATGAATCTCCTCGTATCAACAAAAAAATTAGATGATCCCTTAATTCAATAATTAAGTACCCAAAAACTCAAAACTTCAAACACTCACTGAGAAGAACAACAATGCAGATCAAAATAAATAACACAAAAATTATTTATTATGTATGAAAATCAAAATCAACAACCCATACATTCAAAATGAAGATTAATGATTGGGAAAGTAAGAACCTACCTCAACAAGAAGAGGGAACACCGACTGTGCAGAAAAACAGAGACGAGAGTCTGATGCAGAGTGATAGAGACCGAGAATCCCAACGAACGAGTGCCCACGAGACTTATGGAGGCCGAGAATCAAAAACCCCTCAAGAATCAAGATTGAAAACGTGTTTTTTGGCAGTTAGAGTGACGAAAAATGGGTTTTGGTGGCTCTGGGTTTGTTTCTAAAGACGAAGGATTTGCAGAAATGGAGAGCGAAAAAGAAATCTGGAGGAAATTTAAATGACAATACTTGACGGTTATTTCATAATAACTGTCAAGTATTACATATTTGACGCTTGTTTTAAAACAACCGTCAAGTATATGGCAGACAAACTTGACGGTTATTTCAAAACAAGCGTCAAGTATGTGAAAAAATTTAATTTTTTTTTCTACTATTAATTTGACGTTTGTTTATTGAAGACCGACATGTAAATTTTTGCTTTATATGATGGTTATTTATAAAAAACATCAAATATATATACTTGACGGTTATCTTTAAATAACCATCAAGTATTTACTTAAATATTTGACGCTTGTTTCGTAGAAACTGTCAAGTATTCTCCGCCTTTTTTATTTGTCATTTTTTTTAAATAAACGTCAATTATAGGGCATCAATTATACATCTTTCTGTAGTAGTGATTGTACAGTCGGCATAGTTCGTCACATCTTTCTTTAATTAATGTATCTCTGTTTTCCTGCATCTACATTAATTTTCTTCACTTCACATTCTTACATCCGGGTGAACAGTGGTAAGGAAGCCCGGGTCCCTGTGTTTGATTAGAAGTCAAGTTCTTCCATCCTTTTGAGACTCTGTGTCTTTAGCATGCCTCGTGACACCACGCTTGATTGTTTTTCTTTTACGAATAATTGTTGGCATGCCTAGTGGGACCTATGTAATGAAGATGGCAAAGACGTGAAAAGACAAAAGGACTAATGAAATAGGTGCTAGTTCGCATGAACTAGAAGGGACCTCGGCACACGTAAGGTCAGAACACTTAATGCCTGATGCTAAAGTGGCTGAACATCGTGAGCACATAGTGTCGATGTCAATAGATAGCAGCAGTACAAGCCCTGGCTCAAAGCTAGGAAGTGGACAAGCTAACCCATTGATCATATCTAATAGTCTTGTGACAGAAGTGTTGCGAGGGATTCAAGACTAGATAGATAAGCAACTGGAAGAGAACCAAAGGTTCTTTGTACTATCCCTAGAAACGTCAGAACACAGGGAGAAGGAACGACAATAGATCATGATGTAGGCTTTGCATGATGGCATGAAGAACATAGCCGCATCATTGAGAAGCACTCCTCTAAAAGTAGGTTTAAATTTAGGGCCACTTGGAGGACATCAAGCAAGAATCAATATAGACATTGGCCCTCAACGTCTCCCATTTGTAAAAGACATTCCTAACCCCCTAAATATTTGCTCACACTAATTCTTTAAGTAATTCTTTGTATTATTTACATGAGCCAGGCACGACTAGCCCAAAGGGCACAGTAATGATCTTGAAGCATTAGAACAAACCTCGAAACTAACTAGTGAATATCGAGGCCCTGAGGGACACCATCTAGGATATATATGGACTAGAGCTGAGGCCAATTGGCCACCCTACCTTCTTGAAGCCATATCCAAAATACATAGATAGGGATAATCCGTACCCTTGAGGATATAGGATCTTTGATTTCACCTGTTCTTAAGGGCTGGAGCCACAAGGGCTGAAGCCACAACGGCCAAAGCCATTGGGGCCGAAGCCATAAGGGCTGAAGTCATTGGGGCTAGAATTATTGAGGCCAAAGCCATTGGGGCTAGCACTAGAAAGGCCACAGCCACAAGGGTCAAAGCTATTGAGGTTAAAGCCACAAGGGCTAAAGTCATTGGGGCTAGCACTATTGGGGCTAAAGCCATAGGAGCTAACAATAGAGGGGCCTGAGCTATAAGAGTCGAAGTCATTGGGGCCAGCACCATTGAAGTTAGGACCACCAGAGTGGCCGGAGCCATTGGGGCTAGCACTAGAGAGACCGGATCCATAAGGGCCAGAGCCATTAGGGTAAGTACCAAAGGGACTGGAGCCATAAGGGCCGAAGTCATTGGGGCCAGCACCATTAGAACTAAAGCCATTGGTGCCAGCACTAGAGAGGCCGAAGCCATAGGGGTCAAAGCCACAAGGGCCAAAGCCATTGGGGCCAGCACCATTAGGGCTAAAACTATTGGGGCCAACACCAAAAGGGCTGGAGCCATAGGGGCTGAAGTCATTGGGGCCAGCACTACTAGAGCGGCTGAAGTTATTGAGGCCAAAGCCATTAGGGCCAGCACCATTGATGCCAAAGCTATTAGGGCCAACATTAGAAGGGTCAGAGCCACAGGGCCTAAAGTCATTAGGGCCAGCACTGTAACGTCTAAAAAATTTTAACACTGGTTTATTAACATGATGAGGGTAATTAGTGAGTTAATGAGGTGTGTGGCCAGAAGGGACTTAACTTGGCATAATTAATGTGATTTCAACCCTAGAAGTGGGTACGAATCAAAGGTAGGTCACTTAAGCAAGGAATGAGGATGAAAAAGAGAAGAATTATTTTCTGTGCCACCCATCGTGGTGCGTGGTTGGTCTGTCGTGGCGCATGGCCAAAAATCAGATAAATTAGTTCGTGAGTTGCATGAAAACAAATGAGAAAAAGAGGAAGAAAATAAAGAGCTCGATTTTGGCTCTGTTAGGGCATGACATTTGGTCCCATTATTGATAAATTAAAGCTCCCAAAGACCAAAGGTAAGATTATAGTGCCTTCTTCTTCCTTTTCCTCTCTCATTTGTTATGATTTATGGTAGGGTTTAAGTTAGAAGATGGATTTTCAGTCCATAGGAGTATGGGTTTGATTCCATTGGTTAAAATGAGTATAATGAGAGTTGTTTAGTGTATTAAAACACCACATTGATGATTTTAGAAGTGGTTAGTCTATAGGAGCATTTATTATCCAAAAATTGATATTTATGAGGTAGTTAGGAGAGGTTAATGTGCATTAATAGAATCTAATGAGCCCATTAGGTATGAATGGGTACTGATTATGAGTTGATAAAATAGAGTGTATGGAATTTTTTGTTGATAAGTTTCAAGAGTTAGGTAATGATGATGTTCTTGTGGTTTGGATATATAAAGGTTTGTGTATAACTAGTGTATTTTGTGCCCTGGGTTAGTGAGTTTTGGTTATGAATCCATGGATAAGGCTAAAATACTTGTGCAAGTAGAAACATATATATTTTATGAAATTTGAAATGAAATGGCTGAGTTTGTGCAATAATTCCTCCCCTTTTTATGTTTTGTGAAAATTAGGGTTGAGTAGTGATTTTGTGAAATAAGTGTGTTTGATTGTGTATAGTGTATTTCACGAGTCTACAAGAGTCCATTGAGTGTGGTCAGATGGTTTGTGTAAGCTATTGGCATGTGTGATTGAGTTAAGACACCCCATTGGGAGATTTTGTGAAAAAGTGGTCAAAATGGGTTTTGGTGTCCAACTTTTTATAGAAAGTGAGTTTGAATGTGAAAATGGTGTCATTAGCTAGAGCTAGGAGAAAGCTCTGTGTAGACACCAAAATCACCTCAATCGGATATCAGACGGAGATTTAGGATGCGTCGAAAGTTTACCTCCTAGGCTGTCAAATGACAGCATTGATTTGTCAAATTTCATGCTATGCACCGTAGCATGGCGTCTTACACCACGGTGCATGGCACAGAGAAGACACGTCGCAATACACGAGCCATAAGCCGTGGCGCACATGTCCTTTTCTACACAAAATTTGTTTTTGAGTTTTAAAACTCATTATTTGGGTCCCAATTGATTTGCAAGCTTCCGCTTTATTTTCAAAACTCCAGTTTGGAGTCCTTAAATTATGTTTGGGATTTGAATTGATGAAAATTGAGATTCTTTCAAAAAGATTTTGAGAAATTTCCTTTTATAAAACCTTATAGTTTGGTAATTTTTAAGGGTTAAGCCTTAGATTACCATGATTTAGAGTTAATTATGGTTTAACCTCAAGGAGGTTACAAGCACCACCAGAGGGGCCAGAGTCATAGGGCTCAAAGCCATTAAGGCCAGAACTGTAAGGGCCAATACCAAAGGAGCCAATACCGCAAGGGCTAAAGTCACATAGGCTGTAACCATAAGGGCCGGCACCATAAGGGTTAAAGTCAGAAAGGCAAGTTTTGTAAGGGCCCTTTCCACGAGAGCTCTCTCCTAAAGGGCTCTCTCTACAGGGGCCCTACAGTAGCTAGATTTTACAGAACCAGTCTTTAAATTCTAAAACTAGCCTTTAAGGTCCTAAACCTTGAGAAATTTGATCTTAAGCTAGACCACATGGTCCCTAATCCTCAACCACAAGAACGTCCTTCAAATAAAGTACCAGATCAACTATCAATCAGAATGGGAACGAGCCAATCCTCCAAGATATACTACTCACGCAATGCTTGCAAATGAGGCCAATGGAAACATTCATACAAAATTGGCCTATGAAGACTCCGACCAATTTGTATGCGGGGGGCCTTATTTGCACCCAAATTGTGAATTTAGAAGCCCAAGCCCAATTCAACTTAATTGACTTTAAAATAATTATATAAAAAAAGAATATTTATGTTGCCTTAGCCATTAAGTCAAGACCATCACTCATAATGAGTGATCACGATGGAGAAAGTGCTTCCTAAATTCAAGGAAAGTGGCAATTATGAGGCTTATGCACCTAGCCAGGATCATCTATAAATAGAGGAGCTCTCTCTCAACAATCATCATCAGCATCGACAAACTATCAATCAAATTTCTAGACTCTGCATCTGCTACTTTATTTTATTTTTCTTTTTATTATGTTGTGTTAGTCTTTATTTTATAATTATATCAGACGGAGATTTAGGATGCGTCGAAAGTTTACCTCCTAGGCTGTCAAATGACAGCATTGATTTGTCAAATTTCATGCTATGCACCGTAGCATGGCGTCTTACACCACGGTGCATGGCACAGAGAAGACACGTCGCAATACACGAGCCATAAGCCGTGGCGCACGTGTCCTTTTCTACACAAAATTTGTTTTTGAGTTTTAAAACTCATTATTTGGGTCCCAATTGATTTGCAAGCTTCCACTTTATTTTCAAAACTCCAGTTTGGAGTCCTTAAATTATGTTTGGGATTTGAATTGATGAAAATTGAGATTCTTTCAAAAAGATTTTGAGAAATTTCCTTTTATAAAACCTTATAGTTTGGTAATTTTTAAGGGTTAAGCCTTAGATTACCATGATTTAGAGTTAATTATGGTTTAACCTCAAGGAGGTTACAAGCACCACCAGAGGGGCCAGAGTCATAGGGCTCAAAGCCATTAGGGCCAGAACTGTAAGGGCCAATACCAAAGGAGCCAATACCGCAAGGGCTAAAGTCACATGGGCTGTAACCATAAGGGCCGGCACCATAAGGGTTAAAGTCAGAAAGGCAAGTTTTGTAAGGGCCCTTTCCACGAGAGCTCTCTCCTAAAGGGCTCTCTCTACAGGGGCCCTACAGTAGCTAGATTTTACAGAACCAGTCTTTAAATTCTAAAACTAGCCTTTAAGGTCCTAAACCTTGAGAAATTTGATCTTAAGCTAGACCACATGGTCCCTAATCCTCAACCACAAGAACGTCCTTCAAATAAAGTACCAGATCAACTATCAATCAGAATGGGAACGAGCCAATCCTCCAAGATATACTACTCACGCAATGCTTGCAAATGAGGCCAATGGAAACATTCATACAAAATTGGCCTATGAAGACTCCGACCAATTTGTATGCGGGGGGCCTTATTTGCACCCAAATTGTGAATTTAGAAGCCCAAGCCCAATTCAACTTAATTGACTTTAAAATAATTATATAAAAAAAGAATATTTATGTTGCCTTAGCCATTAAGTCAAGACCATCACTCATAATGAGTGATCACGATGGAGAAAGTGCTTCCTAAATTCAAGGAAAGTGGCAATTATGAGGCTTATGCACCTAGCCAGGATCATCTATAAATAGAGGAGCTCTCTCTCAACAATCATCATCAGCATCGACAAACTATCAATCAAATTTCTAGACTCTGCATCTGCTACTTTATTTTATTTTTCTTTTTATTATGTTGTGTTAGTCTTTATTTTTTCATTATATAGCCGGCATAGTCTATCACATCTTTCTTTAATTAATGTATCTCTGCTTTCCTGCATCTACATTAATTTTTTTTACGTCGCATTTTCATATCTGGGTAAACTGTGATAAGGGAGCCCGGGTTCCCCATGTTTGATTAGAAGTCAAGTTCTTCTATCCTTTTAAAACCTTACGTCTCTAACACGTCTTGCAACACCACGCCTAATTGTTTTTTTTTTACTAACAATGTAAAATAAACTTTATCTTTTTCACTCTTATGTTCGTTCCCACTCCTCCAATTTTCTCTCCTTCACTCCAAACATGCTACGGAAATAAGATTTATTAGCACACACTTAGTAGCAATTAAGAAAGAAAAGCTGCTAAAATGAAATTGAAAATATTAGGTGACTTTTCAAAATGAAATGCTACTGCCTATCAATTATTTTTTATTTATAATTTTGAAAATGAACAAGAGGTAACATTTACAGTAAGAAAGGCTACAGCCTGTTTCGAAACAGTTAAATAGCCTTTCCACATGAAATGCTACCTCATGTTATTAATTAAATAAGTATAAAATAAATGTAAAAACCAACAACACTAAAATAAAAATATATAGAAAAATTCAGTATTTTTTTACCTAATTGTTTAAAAGTTATTAAATCCCTCAAATTTAACCTGGGCGTTTTTATAGATAAATCAAAAATAAAGTAAAAAAAAATTAACTTTAAGATATAACCTGATATGAGTTGTTTAAAAAGTATTCAAATACTCCCTGGCAGCGTTTCCTTTGAAAAGCCATGAGCGTAATTTATTTATTTTTTTAAAATAAACTTCAGGTAGCGTTTATAAGTATGAATGCTATCACTTTTCAGTATTTTTAATGTTTGTTTAGTTACGAGTGGTAGCATTTTGTACCACAAGCTTACCTTTTATTAAGCTTTTTTTTTTATTTTTAATTTCCTTTTAGAAGGGGTAGCATTTGTAACAACAAAAGCTACCTCTTTTCAGTATTTTTAATTTTGAGAATTATAAGAGGTAGCTTTTTATACAACAAATGCTACCTCTTATTAGATTTTTTTATTTTTAATTTATTTACTCATGAATTACAGTTTGATGTAGCAACCCTTTCCTCCTCCCTTCTCCCATTGCGCCAAACCTCACTTTCATTGGAACTTGTAAATATTTTATAAATGCTACGAAAATAAAATTTTAAAAATATAGGGAATGTTTATATAATTAAGTTAAAATAGAAGAAAAATCAATGTAATTACTCTATTATTAATAATCAAATAAAAAATTATTATAAAATAAACAGATTAATACTACCTTGTTTAGACTTTAACTTGCCGAATAAGTCATACAAATTCAAGTAATAATGTGAAAAGGTTTTCAGAGATAGTTTACTTTAGGCCAATCTTAGTTGGACCAGCACAATGATTCATCAGTTCTATTTTCCTTATAGAATTCATTTTCAAAGGACTTGACTAGGAATAATTTATCTTGAAAATCAAACTATTAACACATCATTCTATGAATTTTCAGAACAACGAAGGCCAAACCTATACGCCTCTATTCATTAATTCACCACTCTCCTCAAATCCTATAAAACACCATCATCACCCCCACCATTTTCTCAGGGCAAAAAAACTTCAAACACCTTCTCAATTAAACTCCAACCATGGCGATCATAATCAAAACCATCCCAATCTTCTCCTTCGTCCTCATAACACTCTTCTTCGCGTCCACAGCCAGAGCCGCCATGTTCAACATCTCAAACAACTGCTCCTACACCGTGTGGGCAGCTGCCATCCCCGGCGGAGGCAGAAGGCTCAACTCCGGCGAAATCTGGGCCCTCGACATGGCAGCCGGAACCTCTAAGGCTCGCATCTGGCCACGAACCAACTGCAGCTTCGACGAATCGGGACGGGGGACGTGTCTCACCGGAGACTGCGGCGGCCTCCTCGAGTGCAACCAAACCGGTACGCCTCCAAACACACTTGCTGAATTCTCGTTGAATCAATACAACAACATGGATTTCTTCGATATTTCATTGGTGGATGGGTTCAACGTACCGTTGGAGATCAGTCCAAACTCTACCGCCTGCAACAACACGATCCGGTGCACCGGCGACGTCGCCGATCAGTGCCCCCGGGAATTGAAGGTTGCCGGAGGGTGTCAGAATCCTTGCACAGTGTTTGGGTCGGATCAATATTGTTGTACTTCAGGTTCAAGGAACTGTACGGCCACTACGTATTCCAAGTTCTTTAAGGATAGGTGCCCTGCTGCTTACAGTTACCCCATGGATGATCCAACAAGCACCTTCACTTGCCCAGGAGGAACCAGCTATAACGTTGTGTTTTGTCCTTGAACATGGTTTATTTCTTGGGGAAAAAAAATTACACCTAGAGATTTCATATCGTTAAACATTTATTTTAAATGATTTTAAAAAGTCAGAGTGTTTTTTTCTAAGAATTAAATTGAGTTATATTATCTTCATTCTGGGGAAAAAATGACTTTGAATATCTTTTTAAATATGCTCAATAATAAATTTTATTGTACAATAATTATTCCGATTTTTAAAATCATTTAATCTAACTTTTTGAAGATATGAGTTTTTATATTTTATTTTCATTTCATTTCCTTTGATTTTTAGTATATTTGTGATTAGTATACATTGTTGTTTCTATGATTATTATGTAGCTGGAAAATACAAATAAAGGGCTTTGCAGGCACATCTAGAATGTGATCTAGATTATCTCTTTTGTCCTGGTTGAACTTTTATTATAATAATAAATGAGATTATTATAATAAATTGCTTATCACACATGCATGAAGCATATAGTATTTGTCAACGTTCATATCATCTTTATGTTGAAATTTATATCTTTGACTATCTCCATTTGTCGGGCTGGTCCACTTTATAAAATATGCTTCATATACCTTATCTTTCGGTTTATTTTAGTATTAATTTCTTAGAAATGCTAATTAATCTCAATTCATTATGGTAAGGATAAAGTTAGCAGACTCATTCCCCAAGTCAATTGTGTGATTGGGACCTATACTTCCATATATTTGAAAGGTCTCACGTTGAATTTTGAATATCTGTTTTATTCGAATAAAATAATCCAATAACTTCTTGGGGTAGACAAAATACGTGTCTATGGCATCAACTTAGAATAAAATATATTCATTTATTACTAAAAAAAGAATAAATAATATGATTAATATGCATCATTTATGTGGCAGACATTTAAAGTATTAATGCATTAAATTTCTTTTGTCTTAGATACTAAAAATTAAAGAATTGATGAATATGTATTAATGCATTAAATTTCAATTTAATAAATAATTCTAATTACCTAATTATATTCCAAATGTAGGCCACATCAAAATTTACAAAGGACCTTGGAATTGATTGTTTTGTGTTAGTGCGGTATAACACAACTCCCTAATGAAATAGTAAAAAATATGTTAGTATGAAATTGAAATAATTAAATAAATATGTGAATACTTTAAGCACTTATGTATTAATCAACTCAAATAAAATTTGTCTCTTCCCTGGTTCCCTTCCAAGAGAATCAAGATAATATATCTTTGGAGTGTTGCTGAATGGTTCGATGGCGATCAACATCCAATGATCCCTAATAGTATTTAACAAGTGTTGCAAAATTGTAATTAATCCATTAAATTAAAAATAAAAAATTATTAAGATAAGTGCGAATTACGTTACCCTTGACAATATGGTATTATAAATAATGTTTCCTTTTGAGCCCTTGCTTTGAAATTTTTGCTTAATGCTTTGCTTGTTCTAAAATTTTGTCACTTTTAATTAAGACATGTGCACCTACTTCTTGAGGACTCACGAAGATGAACTTCATTTATAGATCGAAAGGGACAGCAAATTTTTCATACAAGTGCCTATTATAAATACAATAAATGGATTAGTTTATATTTAAACTATTAACTATTCATATATGGAAAAAAATTATCATATGTAGAAGTTGAGGATAGTGAGATTGGTCATATCATGTTAAAGCACTTCATTAATAACATCAAGTGAAAGCATATCATATCGGTCTTTGCCATATATACTAGCCTCGAACGAGATTTGCAGGACCAGAGGACTAGACTTATGAATCGTTGCATACGTCTGGAGTAAATTTCTATGTTGCTTGGCAATTGAGGCTCTTATTCAGACATAACTTTATGGGAGATTGCCTTTTTAGAGAAGAGCTTATATCGGGGCATCATCTTTTTTAACTGTGCATCTTTGCTAGTTTTTTTAGGCTTGGCATCCTAACTTGACTAGCTTGCCATCCAACAAAACTACCTATTGCCTCTCCAACAATCCTTGTGTCCTCGGTGGGAATAGGTAGCGGATAGTTCAAATCCTTCGGCACATCAATAGCAACATGTACATAGAATGCAAGGAGTGGCATATTATGTAGTATGTCTCTCGGTAAATTAAACACCCGACTGATAGCAACCACATGATTCGACCTATTTGCCAACAACTCACGTAGGCTCTCACCCTATATTAACAAGTAATATACTATATTAAAGTTATAAAAAATTGAAATAGTGAAATAAGTTAATAATATTTTACCTCAGAGATTTTTAATAGGTTGCATGACACTGTAACTACCTTTCCCACTAGGACTAATATGAAACTTTGCCTCTCGCCTCTCCTTGTCCTTTAGCAAAGCTTCAATCATGTCCTGTTGCCTAGTAGCTCCTCTTTTAGGGTGGCAATCTTAGCCTTTGTACCTACATTCTCTGTTGACCTTGCCTTCTTCTGTGACTTGAATATTTGTTTTTTCGAAACACTGAAGTCATGTCCCCTAACTCGACTTGGGTGTTCGGGATTACCTAATGCCTTACCCAAGACGTCATCATCAGGCGTGCCACTTTTCTCAATCTTGACCTGTGCAATATATAGAAAGAAAGTTAAATTAGTTGATGGAGTATTAAAAAATGTTAAGTTAATGTACTTACACACTTGTCGGCAAGCTCCTGAACACATTTATCAATAATGTTTCCTTCTTTATTGGTTCGACATTCTATGAAGAGTCTGTGACATGAAACTGAGCTTACCCCTAAACCCTCTCGCTTGATCTATGAATTTAATTAAATTTAAATGTTAGTATAGTACATATATCTATGAAATAAGCTAAAATTGTATAGTATAAAAATTAACTTATCATTTGTTGCTCAATTCCTGCATATCCTATGTGCCCCTTCTTGTAAGGGTATAGATCTTTCTCATGCAACTCTTTCTTTTTATGGCTCAACTCTTATGCAAACCACATATAATCATATCTATAAAATTAAATATATTGACAATAATAAAAAAATTAATTCATCTCATTATTCTTACTTGAAATTGTCTTGCAAGACGTTAAGCAACAAATTCATCCCATTGTTCTTGTGAAACTAATGGCCTTATCAAGTCGAGGACTTTAGCACTAATGTTTCCTCCTGATTTTTTAATGTATTTCGCTCCCATGAAATACCAAAATGTTTCCTTTCCAGCTTGTTGGATGATGTAACCTTCCCTATATATCCACTCAATATAAGAGATTTATTAGTAAATAATTGCTCAAACCTCAATATAATTAGAAGATACCATAGTACTTTTGTAGGAGCTTTGTTCTCTCTATAATTTGGTGTCTCACATACTAGACACTTAAACTCCTCTTTATGCTTTCTCTTGTACAGTATGTAGTCATTTAAGCATCCATATGTTTTCTTAAACTTTATGCCCAGTGGGCATAGAATTTTATTTGCCTCGTAGTAATGAACCAGAAACACATTGTCTTTTAGAAGCATCAATTGCAATGATTCAAGCATTTTAGTGAAACTCTTGTCACTCCACTCAGATCTAGCTTTCAAGTTCGCCACTTCTAACATTGCTTTCAATAGACTAAATTCCTTACACCCTAGATATAAAGGTGTCTTTGTATCATTGTACATATAGAAAGAGGAGGCAATTGTCCCAATGAAATTTGAAAAAAATCACATTTTTTGTCAAAATTATACTTGCCCCCACTTTAAAATTGCAGTTGCCCCCATAAAAATTAATTGTCCTATATATATTTTTAAATTATCAAGCACATATATTTAAAAATATGGTTTACTCTAGTATTTATTATAAAAATAATTTTATTACATAAATGAAATGAAGATATATTTTAAACTTCTTATGTAATTTATTTATATATTATTTTAATTAATATTTATAACTATATATTTTTAAAAAAATATTAATATTTATATTTAGAATAAATATTGCTTGCAATACTAAATTTTTTAGCATTCTTCACTGCTAGGATTGCTCACTAGCCTTTTTACCAGTATCACAGATCATGTCCTCTAACCGATCAACAAATCATCATCAGTATCAACATCAACATCAACATCCCATGATTGAGATGTAGTTGGCATTGGCATGTTCAGTCTTTCACCATGCCATATCCATACTTTATAACTTTTAAGAAAACCCTCACAAATTAAGTGTTCATGCATCACATTTGCATGTAGCCACCTCTCATTCAAATAGTATTTACAAGGACAATAAAACCTCCCACTATTATCTTTAGCATTGCTTATAGCAAATTCCAGAAACCCTTAACCCTATTAGCAAACTCTACACTCATTTGTTTAGCATCTATCCAATTACAATCCATGTTTAATTTGTCTTCCTAAAACATGATGAAGTATATGGATTACCACTAAATCCATTTGGATGGGCCAAACAACAAGTTCTATATTAAAAATATTCTTTAGAGTTAGAAATAAATACATTATGCATTCACAATAATTTCCAATTGAAGTTGGAAATTTACAATTCTTTAAAGAACAATATTCTTTAGAGTTGGCTTCCATCCTATCTAATAGGTAAGAGGGAAGCCAACTCTATATTCTTTGGCCATTTCCATATAGAAGAAGGGGCCAAATAATAAGTTTTAAAAATTTTTCAAAACAATCTCCCCTAAAAGTTAGATTTTCCAATAAATTTACAATTGAAAATACAACAATACAATTTAACGAATCACATTCTAGCCAACAACAATTCCTAACCTAAGTTAACAATCCAAACATAAACTTTATTGTCTAACTAAATTTAATTAACTAACCTAAGCTAACAAATTTAACAATCAATGTAATGAAATTTAACATTTCATGCACAAATATAACAATCAAAAACTTCTAAGAGGCTTAGCACAGAAAAATTCCAAGAGGGAGCACAAAGTCTCATGAAAATTAAGCTATAAAATTTAATAATCAAGCTCTAATTTTTTTAATTTAAAACCAATTGAAAAATATTTAAGCAAAATTCACAAGCGGATTCATGTCATAGAAGTATTACAAAAGCTCACAAAAATTAATGAAAGGATTGAAGTTCAAAGCTTGAATGAAATTGGAAATTTTGAGTGCTTTAGAAAATTAAAGGGAAAATAGCATCCAAGGACTGCCGAAGGAAATTTATATCAGTAAAGGACCAATTGTTCTCAAAACTAGAATAAAAAATGAGCTTGAATGAACTACCGTTAATTTAGAATGAGTTATTGTTAAAACCTAAATGAATATTTATTGGTAAAAGACTAACCAGAATCAACAAGTATCCATTTGAGTTCTGAGAATGTAACATCCTAAATTTATTAATCTCATGATTATCTTTTAATAAAGGGTGAAGTGGTAATAGTGTAGGATTAGAGATTTAGATGATTACTTGAAACTTTGGCTCGTTAGGATGTTAAATGAATAGATATGGGTGGAAGGATTGTGTTTCAAGTTTAAGCAAGTACACGTGATGAGAATTTTTCTCACAGTGCCACGCATTGCGGCGTATGGACCAAAAAGTGACTTCTTAAGTCATGAAATTTCATGAATTTCAAAAGGGAGAAATCAAAAACACATAAAAAGAGAAGAGAAGAAGGGCTA